TGATAGTTAAATGTAACAGATGTTAAAGAATTTTTAAAAAATTTAGCTAATTTTTTTTAAAATGAAGTAGCTAATTTTCATTTTGAATTAGTATTAAATCTTAATTAATTTTAGCTATATAATAATGCTTATTTATAATATTAATAATATATACCATTATATATAATTTGCCATATAATATCTAATTTAAATGCAAAATTTACTAATTTCTGTTTTTTATTTAGATACAGATTTTTTAATAAGATTTTAATATAATTTTACTTTTTATTATTTAGATGACTTGCAAATACTAAATTTCATTTATCAACTTTAAGTATATTATAAATAATTTTATTTTCAGCTTAAATAACCATTAAGATTCACTATGTAAAATAATCAAAAAATATTAAAGTACTTTATTTAAAAAATAAATATATTATTATTTAACCATATATAATTATTATATATTAAGAAAAATTAGCTTATTAAAAAAAAGTAATTGAAGATTTTCTTACTAAAGTTGAATTAAGAATATTTTATCAAATTATATTTACTTTATTAAATTATATTTAAAAAAAAATAATATAATATTTAAATTATTATAATAAATTATAATAAATAGTTCAATTAAATTTTAACATATTTAATAAAATATTATTAATATAAAGTTTAATAAAATTTTTGAATTTAATTTTTTTGAAATAATAAAAATATAACAATTATCTTATATGCTTATAAAAATAAAAAAAAAGGACTTAATATTATATTTATTTGATAAATTTCAAAAAATTATAAAAGCAAAGAATAATAGGTTAAAATATTTTTTTAATAAATTGTATCTTTCATCTAATCTATTTTTAAAAAATAAAGATTTACAAATACAAGTAAAAAAACAGTTTTTATTTATATTATTATAGGATTCATTTTTAATTATTTTAATGTCTAAGTTAAAAGGTTATGATAGTTGATTCTACATATTGGAGTTTCTAACCTTAGAATTTTTTTAAGTTTTATAGGTATCTGTTATACTTGAATCAACTCAACAATTTATTGTATTTTAGAATTTAAGATAAGTTAGTCAATCTTATAATAACAAACCCAATAGTAAGTTAGTATAGAATATCATAACAAAGAAGGGAAAAGTAAATTTATATGGATTTAAATTGATTCTTTTATTTATAATTTGAAACTCGCAGAAGAGTTAATTTATAACTTAAGCAAAAAGCTATTCTATTTATACAAAATGAATTTGCTACAGCTAACTATTTATTATGCTATAAACTAACTATTTTAGTAAACTTCAACTATAAAATAATAATAAAAGATAATGAAATAGAAATATAAAATATAAGATAAAATAATAAAATAAATAAATATAATGAAGACATTTTAGAATAAACAGTTATATATTATTACTAGAATTTGCAATATCAGAAAAATCAAATGAATTTTGGTTGATCAGATAAATCTTTAATATTTTTTTGATTTGCTTGACACAATAATTGTAGATTATTACTGCACATTATCATCTGATAATTCTCACGTAATATTTTCTATATTTGTAATAATATCCATTTTTAATGCTAACAATATATTATTTTTTATAGAATTGAAATAAATTTATTAATAATGTATTTTGACTTAATAGATACTTTTAATATTTTTATAGATAAACTTTCAAATTTAAATATAATTATGATATCTTGTATAATTATAAAATATTAAATTATTATATTTAAAGATCATATTAAAATCATTGATTCTATACTATTTAATATACAAATAAAATAATAGTATTAAATATTAATGATTATTATAATATTTATATTAAAACAGATATCAAATACAACTATTACATCTATTATTATATATCTATTAATAATCTTAATAAATTTTATTGCTTTATAGAATGCAATTTTAAGATATATATATATAATTTCATTTTGATTAATGTTTTATTAATTAAAATTAATTTAAAAAATAAATTCATAATATTTTATTAATAAATTTTATTATTTTATAGAATGTAATTTTAAAATATATATAATTTCATTTTTGATTAATATTTTATTAATCAAAATTAATTTAGAAAATAAATTCATAATATTTTATAGATTTTCATATTATTTATATTTAAGAATTTTATATAATTGATAATGATACAAAATTAAAAGAATTAATGATATATAATTACTGTATAATATTAAGTTGAAAGAAAATGTATTATTCATTATATAAAGGATGTTATTTTTATAGATTTATAAAAATAATCTTCATTCTTAAATACATATATTAAAGTAATTGATGCTATTACAAATATTTTATCTATAAAATAATATATTTAAAAAGGATAAGTTATTCCTATTATTGCTAATTGGTTATGTTAAATTTATCTCGAAATATTATTCTTTGTTATTTGCTTTATAATAATTTTTTGAATATTACTAATTTATTATATTTTTTTTTCTAACTATAAGTTTTTTATATATTTTATTAAACAGCTAAAAATTATACAAAAAATCTAAATTATAACGTAATCTACTTTTAAAGATTTCGCATAATATTTGGTAGAAATTTTTTATAGTAATTAAAGTAAACTTTAGATTCTTTATAAAAATGCTAAATAGCTTACATTTAGAGATCTTTTTAAAAATATAATTCTTCTGATCTTAGATATTTATACTATTTTTATTGATCTAGTGATTTTAATACTTTGAAATTATATTTTTTTTATTTGAATAATATTTCTTAAATTTCAATGCAAAACTATATTAAAGTATTATTAATGATATTTTTACTAGGAGTAACTCATTTATCCTAAAAATTATTAAGATTGAACTTTCAAAATCTTCAGATGCAACTGTTGAGATTTTTATAGTTTTTTATGTAAAAACATACAAGCATAACAGATTATTAAATATGTATTTAAATCAACCAATTACATTTGCATGATAATGAAGTTTTGTATACTTATCAACATGTGCAGCATATGAATATTCAGTATGAGATGTTACAATTTTAACAAAAATCAGTATTTATTTTTATGTAGTATTTTTTAGATATTTATATACACTTGTTTAATGATAAATTACTATTAATATCCTATCATAGGCTGTTATCACAAATTTATCTTCAAAAAGAAAAGAAAAAAAGAAATCTAATGATAACAATATTATACTAGTTGTAATGAAGATGTCAAAAGCATAATTATGTTATCTTTCTTAGGTTTTAATACCATACATAAAGCAAATCTGTTTTATTATTGAGATGCAACTAAATGTTCTATTTTTTATCTATTTCTACAGATCTGATTATAGGTTTAGCTTGTGACCATACATATTATAAAATTTATGGCAACCTTGGATTCAAGTGCTTATATTACCTTTCATTTTTAAAAGATGATGTTGATGAAAATGTCCGGTTCTTATTAAAATGTTTTACAACACTTTAAAGAAGTACAAGTCAAAGAGGAGTTTAACAATGATATTCCTTGCGATAATAATGAAGAAAATAAGCCAGTGGAAAATATGACATTTACATTAGAAGATGTATTATACAAATTTCAATTAAATAGACATTTTATAAAAAGATGATGGTAAGTTTTAGTTAATCAGTATCAGGTTTTATTTAAAATAAATAAATTAAACTATAACAGATAAATTCTAAAAGATCGTCAATAATGGCGTAGTTTCAAAATGGCGCAGGTCAAATGGCGCAGTTTAATTTTTTGTCAGTTTGATTTTTCGTTTAATATGAAGTTCAATTCTTCGAACAAAATTTACATAGTTCATTTTTATTAGCTAATTTAAATTCAATATTAATCACGGTAATTATCAGTGATATGTATAAAAATTTCTATGATGTTTCGGCGCATATACTGTATTTTTATTAAAATTGATATGTATATTACTAGGAGATGGAAACTGTTATTAAATCCGGAACAATTACAAAAGCCAATCAGCATCGATTCAGGGACAACAGGACACCTCGTGTGATATATGGCTAGTTTTATAGAGTCCTTCACTTTAATACTGAATAAAAGATCATGAGCATCATGAAATTGTGAAATCTTCTTCCGATTTACTTGATCTATTATATACAGTACAATAAAATAAAGCTTGTTATTTATTGAAAAAATATGTGAAAAAGGAAAGTTTTCACGAAAAAAGGGAAGTGGGGAAAAAATTTTTTATTAAAAATCAAATCAATAAAATCAATATTGATTCTTGTTACGTCATTGATTAGTCGGAAATCAGTATCAATTTTAAGATCACTGTATATTGCAAAATCTTATCGTATAATTTTTTCCAATTCATCTACTCTTTCATTAATTTTTTTAATCGCAAAAAACTATGTCGTCTAACGTTGTAGTTTCTTCCACTGGTGTTCCTATACCTAATCTTCCGACAGTCGAGGAAGTAGAAGGATGGAGTGCCAAAAAACTTAATGGATTTTTGAAAAGTAGACTAAACATTGATAATCACATAGATACTATCACCGTGAGTCAAGAAGTCGATGGCTCAACCTTCCTTGATTTTACTACGACAGACTTTGAAAGATGGGGAATACCAGGTGGACCATCAAAACGTATTGAAAAGCTAATTAGTCAAATTAAAGGAGGTAAACAAACCATTTTTTCGTTTTCTGCTAATATCTCGAATATTTACTGAATCTTGTGCTTTTCTTCCTGTATCATATACGCCTTCACATTATCATAGAACAAACCGCTGCTGGTGAGTGTTACAATAAAATTAGTCAATTCAATGTATAGGATTAAGCTTAACTTTTTCGTTGCATTGTGTCATATCTTAATCTTATGCTGCTTTCTTTCTGTGCGGACATTTTGGTATTCCAGATTTGTCCTATTGCTCCAGCTTATCTCTGATTGCATAAAAAAATATTTTCGAATTTGTATACAATCACATGCGTTCCCAGAAAGAAACTATATATTATGCTGTTTTCTATATTAACTAGTCAATGCTTTCCTCTTCCTTTTCAATTCAGGTAAAAAGCGCAAGTTAGAACTGAGTCAGATATTACAAGATTTCATTCCAGACGAAGTTAACTTAGTCAAAAAAAAAAGTACAATAACAGAGTTTGTGGATCGTGATGATGGATTGAATGCTGCGTTTGAAGTTTTCATTAAAAACCATGAAGGACGAATGTCGAATCAATCTCAGGATACTTACTTTGGTTTATGTTTTGGTGGGTGTGGAATTGGGAAAAC